TTCTGCCTCCCGTGCCAGCCCCCTGCCCGGGAGGGGGGCCGGGGCCGGGGGTGGCAGCCGGCTTTCCCCCTGGCTGCCGACGGCCGTGCCCCCTCCCCATGTGCAGAAGCAAGGTGATGGGCAGGATCCTCTCCTCCAGGCTCCGGGTTGTTCATGCTTCGGTGGGCAGGGAGCCTGGCGGGCCCTGCTTTGTCCCTTTGTGCCTGGGGCTTGCATGGTCTCTCTCCCTGTTCTCCACCTAGTCCTGGATTGTTTCTCTGCCTCAGGTCGGAAACCATCAAGCTTTTCTTGGCTGTTGGGGGTGGGAGCTTGGTCGCGTCTTCCTCTTCTCTCCCAGACAGACACGTTCCTGTCGTCTGGAGGGAATCGGAGCAGGCTGTTGTCAACCCTTCACGAAGAGCCTGAACTTCCTTCTCCTTCCACCCCTCTCCCGCTGCTCGTAGAGTTTAAGCTTCCTCCTATATCTGAGGTGTCCCTTTTTCTCATCCTCTCTCCGTAGGGGACCTGGGCTTTCCCTCCCTCCTAGAATCAGACCCATCCTATATATTTTCATCTCCTCTGTGAGGAAAGTCAGTGTACCCCTCGCAGGTCAAAACCCAGTATTTGTGAAAGGAATCTGACTTCTGTCCACTTTCAGACAGTCATCACTCTTGACAGAGATTTTTGGGCCCTTTACTCCCATTGGGGCAAGATATACCCATCTCTCACCCTCTTGTGTGATAAATCTGACTGCATCTTTCCCCTCTGTTCCCTTGTTTGATGAGATCCACCCACAGGTGGTAAGACCTGAGGCTGAGCTAAGAGTGAGCAGCTCACCTGGTGTGGTGGGAAGTGTGGCAGAACTTGGTCTTATGCTGATGGAGGAATGTTTGATGGGACTGGCTGGGCATCAAGTACAGGAAGGTGAGAAAGGGACTGCCGAAGTCTCCCATGGAGGGCTTTGGTGAAGAGTCACGGTGGACTGCTTGATGCTAAAGGGGAAACATTTTGTACCGTAGAGTTTCAGATATGGGATAGAATAGTGGTTGTCAAGTTGTTTTAATTTGCAGACCCCTAAAAACTTCAAATGGTAGTGTGGATCCTTTTGAATTGTAAGCGTGATTGTTCATAATCATACTTTTGATCATAGTCATCTTTTGCGGACCCCTTAGATATACTCTGCAGACCATGAGTTGAAAACCACTGGAATACAGTTGTGCCATGTTATAGGTTGCTGCTAAGGTAAATGCTGGATTACTCTGAGATTTGGAAGGACAATGTTCTACTTGGGGAAGTGGAGGGGTTGCTTCTGAATTGATTCTTTGCAGGAGACAGTGGCATTTTGGGAGAAGCAATGAAGAGAGGCAGGCAAGGAGAGTGTTGCTTTCATTACCTGTCCAAATTCAGAAAATGTGAATTGTAAGCACTGAGCCTGACAGTGATTTAAAAAAACCACAAAACCAAAGATGATGAGAGAGACTAAAATATCTCAGTGCAGAGTGTTTTTTGTATTCTACCTTGGGAGGGGATGGAGAAGGAACTCATTGATCTTCAGTTTTTTGTTAGAAAGTGTTAGTTTGTTACCCATTCTGGGGTTCCCTTAAGGAGGTATTTGGCTATGTATTTCCTCTTCCTTAATGAAATAAGTACTTGGATATTAGCTTCTTCTTGTGAAGAACCTAATTATTTGCTCTCAAATATTGGTGTATATATTCCTTCTTAGAACATACTGCTAATGCGCATTTCTTAGTGCTTAAAGATTCAGTGTCGAGTGGCATTATGTACACTATACATGTAACGTACCATGGAAAAAAGCATGAATGGTAAAAGTACTGTTTATGGTGACTGGAGATAAAAGCAGCTGGAGTGAAGTTTGTTACTTAATTGCGTTCTAAAATGGTAGTTCTTTATTGGGAAAGATGGACATCTCCAGGTTGCTGAAGGTAGAGGATACAATGCCATTTTATCAGAGAATCAAGTTTTATTCAGCTTACATGTTAGAAGGTGGTGAACAGGCATCTCGCCAAGATTCTAAGGAGACTGGAAAGAACAGCACCATATGGGGCTTTGCCAGGTCATTGGTGTAGAAGGAGCAGTACCCTGGTATAGAGCCCATAGAGCGGGGTCTTGCCAAGTTATTAAGAGTGGGTCATTGAAATCCATAAGGGCTGTGCAGTTTAATATGGAGGGACAAGATGGAGCTCTATGAAACTGTTAAACGTTAAGATCATTTGGCTGTCTGCAGAGCAGTGAAAGAAGAAATCAAAGGTGAAGAGGGATGAAGTGAAGATCCCAATGTTTTTAGAGCAAAAAAGCGGACAGTGTCTTAAACATTTGGGAATATATAATTGGATATGAACAAGGGACATTGAAGGCCTCTTCCTTGATGCTTTAAGTTACTAAGCTATCTTCCAATGCATGCAGCTCCAACTGGTATAATATCACTTCTTAATACAAGAGGTATTTATTTAAGACGGAACTAAAATCTCTTAATTTGAATTGCATGCATTTTAATTTTCCTAAATAGAGGTAGTTGAGTTAATAAATTAATTTGAATAGCCTTATTGATATGTTTTGCAATAAGCGTACATAGTGAAGAAAATTTTATAATATACAATATTTAGAATTGTAATTTGACACAATTTTTATACTTGGCTAGCTAGTCAGTTTGCTTGGGTATATATGGAGTTTGAAGCTAATAACTTTAGAAAACTGTGGTTTAGTTTGAGATAATTTGGCCATAGCTTTAGATTAATGGTGCTGCATTATGACTAGTACACAGGGAAGCAGCTGGAAAATGTTGCACTGAAAGAG